AACCTTCAGTACATCCTTTAAGATCTGCGACAAAAATATCTGATTACAAATTTGTAGGGTTACGTTCTGGCTAACATTTAAGATCACCGCCATAAACACCTCTGGAGATCTTATCAGTGTACCAGAGATGCATCGCTTAAAAATTATATCATGCCGAGCTTTTAAAAACAATTATGGATGTGCGAGCAACGGACTGACACGAGGTCAGGCCACCAACCAAAACAACTTATGAAGCGTAATACTTGAGGCCTTAATCAATTAACGTCATGACCTCTTATCAAAATATCGCGTATAATTCGTGCAATAAGTGTATCAGAACCTATATAAATTGATAAGGCGAATTTAAGTGGTTACACAATTTTACACGTTATCACGTGTTTAGCGTACACATTAATATATATTGTTCCCGAGAAAAGCACATTTTGACATGTTTTGAGCTTTTCAGCAACAATGGATGCCACTCTAATCCAAAACGTCCTCTAAGAAAATGTTTGGAAAAATTGTGCGAACAGGGTGCTTAACGGCCAACGTAAAAAGAAAAAAAAAATGTCGATGTCTCTCGGACAAGGGTTCTACAGTGCGATGTTGGAGTTTCGCGGCACTATGGGGCTGGCGAACAGGTTCGGTTTGTCCTCGCTGGCGTCTGCTCGTCGTTTCCCTGGTGTGGATGAGCTTGGGGAGCGGGCGAACCGCGGACAGGTCGTCGCGTGATCAGTCTGTACGCGGATGTGAATCGGCCATAAATTACAATCGTTACAAGAATATACATACAATATTATAAATATCTGCACTAGAGCGACCTGTTTCCTCAATGCACCTTCGTTCCGTTTATTGCGGGTAGCTAGCGGTCGTCACACATTTTATAGTCGCGTTTACGCGCGAAATATTACGCTAATCATTTGCAGAGACCTAGATCCTCTTAGCTGTGGAAGGGGTAAAAATAACCCTAAACCTGGCATCGTAATCCGGGAGACGACGACCTTTTGTCGGTCCCTTTTCTTTTTTTATTCGCAGAATTTTGCCGGTTGTTGGATGTCTTCGCTTCTCTCGTTAAAATTACACGGTGCACAGATGAGATTCGTAAAATGATTTCTTGGGTGGCTTAGGCAGAACGAATAATTCGGAGGAGTTACTTTTGCAGAGACATTATAACAAATCTTTTTGATGTTTTTATGTTTTTTGTTGGTTTAAATATGCTACATTAACGAGGCTCGTTATTTATTTATTTTTTTTTACGAGAAAAGGAAGCGACGCGGCTGACACTGATGTGAGAGAATTTACGATCCTTACAATTATTACGCCACTGGAAACCTCTGGTTTGAGTCTTGTTAGGCTTGCGACAGGGATTTTATCACTGTGGTAACACGACTTTTCCATGTTTTTTTTGTTTTTTTTTTAATTCTTCCATAGTCTGCCGCTCGGAGGTGGTGCCGTTAACGCGAATTATGGCTTCATTAAGTCGTAATTTTAAGGCGAGCTAGTTTACACCCGACGGGGCCATATATTATCAGTTCCATAATCAAAAACCGTACTCGCTTGAAAAAAGAAACAAAAAAGCGAAATAGGAGCCGTCATTAGTTTTAACCGGCTCGGCGGGGGCCACAATCTCCTCATTCGCTGACCAGGCGTGAGGATTCCTCAGACTCGGCTTTATGCCGCAATTCGGCCGTGTTTCTCCTTCCCTTTTTCTAATGGTTAAAATATAGAAACCGACCTCTAGTAATATTTTGTTTGCGCTATAACAATATGTGTCATCTCAGTATTAAAAAAATAATCCCGAGTATGTATGTATATATCTTTTTCTGATAGTTTATTCTGCGAAATTTTGGTGTTTGTCAGGAAATTTGGGGTCTTATAACATCCGAAGAAACCAAGGAAGATCCCAACTCAACATTATTTGACCGTGGGTATTCGCCGAACAATTGCCAAAGTGTGACTTCACTGCTGGTACTCTTGCTATCACATGAGTCCCTGGGCCTAAATAAGCGCTAAATGTAGCCTTCATTTATGGCTGTTCGGTTTTTATGTGTTTATGTGGCAACTTTGGGCCTAGATTGCAAAAAAGCTCCAGATTTTGGCTTCACTGCTGGCTTTTAGATTAACACGAGGCATCTAGGGCTCAAGTCTGGCACTTTGGCAATACGTGGCGAGCCAGTGAAAAGACAAAGAAAAGTGTTCTCGCATGAACGCCAGGAGCAAAACCGTATTAGGCCCAGGTAATGCACCTATAGCATTTCCAAGCCTGCTCCCAGTTAGTCACGAATGGTGCTTCCTCGGCCTTTTCGGGGGATACTAGGAGGAGGTTCGCTCGCTCGCACCCTGAATAATGTCGCTAATTGAAATGAAGTTTGAAAACGCATTCCCTAAATTGCTTGTCCACAACTTTTTCCTCGTTTCAAAGCAGTTGGTTATGAAAGAAAAAAATAAAGGGGTCGCTTTGTCTACTTTGCTCTCGCTATCTGGGACTAAAGCCACTGAATGCTTACAGTGTACCGAACGCCCCAAAGGTTCGCGCCTGAACCACCTTGTGGCGTTGATATCAATGGCTAGAAGATGGCGGCCGTGTGAGATAAAACGAAATTGACAAACAACAACATCAACAACAACCTTGGAATAGGTTGTTCGTGAGTGTAATGCAGGGTCGACCTCGATCTTTTGCAGAATAGCCAAGAAGCTACATATTATACAATATGGAGCCCTATCGAAAGCCGCGACGTCTAAACCGATCAAGTAGTAGGGCTGGGCGTCGATTAAACATTTTAACCCTATTAATCGCCACCTTTTAATCGATTAATTAATCGATTAATCGGTTGCGTTTATTTTTATAAATACTATATTAAAATAATCCAACGACTCTGTTAGACGGCGCAAAGGACGTTTAGAATTGAGGATACATATTTTTGCTCCAGCTCCGAAGACAAAGAAGTTTGTCCACATTCTCCGACAGGAAGACAAGAAGCCGGGCCTTGGGCGATGCTTTCTTCTTTTTTCAGAGAAAGAGGCCTCAATAAGAAGGCGTTCATTGTTATCCGCGTTTTGGCGGATCGTCCTTGCTGCAGTGGCGTACATGGGTGCTTCGCTCGTTGGTTATACTGAAGCGAACTTACGCTTCCACTGCACGAAAACGGCTTTTTGTAGATGAGGCAGTGCACTTCCTTCGAGTTAAAAAACTTCACCGATGGAGGTTACTTTAAACCCAAACATTCCAGCGAGTATGACATTCATACTTGTGTACTCGTCCATTTTTACGGGCCGAATACTGGAACAAGTAACCATGGCGTTGTTAGCTTCCCAGCTTGTTTTTCTGTTTGTTTGTCTTGCCTGGGCAGGATGTGTAAGAGATCCCCAACACGTGAAGTTTAGCGATCGTCCGGGAATCAATTGCGGGCCCGGCTTGTTCGTCTGGCCTCGGCAGAACTGTAATGCATATCCTCGAACACGTGACGATTTGCGAGTGCGAGAATCGAACCTTGCTCGTGGCACCTGGCTGGGCACGGAAAACCGCTCGGGACAGGACGAGCGGATACTCGCCACGCACCCCTAGTTTGGGCAGGCCGTCCAGGATAAAGCCATGCGTACGTCCGGTTGACTTCTTTTTGAGTACCGATTAAAAAACCGATTAACCGGTTAAAACATTTTATCACGATTAACCCTTTAATCGATTAATCGGAAGGTTAATCGATCAATTGCCCAGCCCTATCAAGCAGAGAGCAAAAGGCAGGATTACGCGCATTTGCTGTACGTGGTCCGCTTAGCCCGTCAAAGCAGACGCACAAAGACATTGAAGAGGGTGTATCGTCACACCCTTGGTGCGGCTGGATTGCCTCCGTCGGACTGTAGCTTAGGCTGCGGGCGGACTCGATGTTAAAAGGTGCGCGTTAACTTCGCACCTGCCTGTATCCACCAGCCGTTTAGAGAGCTCGCGTAAACGGTTTACACAAGGTTTGGGTTTCTTTTCTCTTTTCTTCCGGCGTCAACAAAGCCGACATTAGCAAATGAAAAAAAGAAAAGGCTACACTGTTTATTTCTTTGTTACGCGAAAACCGTACAATACTGTTCTCTATGTACGTCCATATCATTAATATTAATGGTTACTTACAGGGCAAAATAAGACGTTCAGATGGGAAAAAAAATAAAGTCAAGGGGATTTTAGTTTCCTTTTGGTTTATTTTACTGCATTTACATTATGATATTTCTAATTAAAATTACGAATACATATATCTGAACGAGGGTACTATCTGTTTTCTGGAAAAGTTCAGAATAGGCTGATTATCGAATTTTATTTATATTAGCGTATGGTACTCGATGTTTGCTGGGAGCACCTGGACGTCATTGATATTGCCGCCCGCAGAGCCGAGAAGGCAACGCTTGGTCACGGTCTTCTAGAAGATTTCCAGTCATTCTCGCAGCAGACGTAACTTTCCCTCTGCTTTGTTATTCTCGAAAGTGCCAGTTCATCCTCGCCCCGAGCGCACGACGCTCGAACCTTCTTTGCCGAACTTTCGAGATAGTGACGCACGGTAGATAAGCAGCTGCCCGCGACCTTGTATATATATTGTATAGCATGTATATTCCGCGGACTATCACCCGGAAAATACGGTAATTATGCCCTGGGTGTTGTATTGCCCAGGATTTTCCATCTACCAATTAGCCCTTTCCTGCCACGAGGTTAAAGCTCAAATCATTGCAATCCACCAAAAAAGTTCATCTAATGACAAAGACTGGAATGGACTTGAATAAAAAAAGAATACAATACTTTTTAAAATTGTTATAACACAACCAAACAAAATTTGGCACCACTTCTAGTCGCTTTAATTGAACCAAGAAAGGTCGGAAATGTATCTTTTAATTCTAACTGTACCTACGAGTAGCTTGTGTGGTGTTTGATATTTTTGTTTAAAGTGACGTTGTGGCAGGTCAAAAGTTTTTTTTGGGCCTGCAATTTGTTTCTAGGGTGTCAGCAGCCTCCGTTGAATTTATTTTTGTATTTACTTTTTCAGAACAAGCATATTTCTCACTCCCACGAAATGGCATCTACAATGAAGATCTTCGTCCTGACCGGCGCTATTTTGCTTGTCTTTGGGCTCACCGGAGCGCAGGTGAGTTGTTGCGCAACAGTCTGTCCTGGAGACAGCATGACACGTCTTGGTAGTGGATGGCAAATTTCACCTTGATTTAAATTGCAGCCATCTAAGCTCTCACAAAGTCAATCCTCGTAATCTTTAAAAAAAAAGTAAGGCTTTCCGCCTAAAATCTGTAGTTGCTTTTCATATCTCCAATCCAAATCTACCATGAACAAAATCATTATGTTGTTTGAATTTAGTTTAGAAATTAGTTAAGAGCAACACCTTTCTAGGAACATGATTCTTGAGTGCTTGATCGAATAATTCTTAAATAAACATCTGAAGCACTTAATCTGTATTCGTGTGCAGTTCATCAAGATCAGATATATCTCGAAAACAAACAAATTTGTCATGCAGGAATTTTAATAAAACAGGCACAAATAAAATGGTAAACTCTAAACAGCGTATTAAGTACTCTCTAAAAAAAACCCGTTGTGTTTACTTTCCCGCACAACACTTGTAGAGCCAATCACCGCAACCTACGGAGCCAGCTCAGCGAATGACGATGCCGAAACTTATATTTATACCAAAAAACGCAGTCTGAGTTGTGACATTAAGCAGTGCAAAACGTCACACTTGCATTGCTTAATGTCACAACTGAGACTGCGTTGTCTGGTCTAAACACACGTTTCGGCATCGTCATCGGCTGAGCTGCCTCCGTAAAATGCGGTGATTGGCTCTCCGAGTGTTGTGCGGGAAAGTAGACGCACGGGCTTGTTTTAGAGTGTAGTCCTGCCATATCCTGAAATATCGACGACTACTGTTTTTTTAATCTTTTTTGCGCGCTAAGAATTGACAGGCGTGATTTATGTTGGTTACAACTATGCGTAGCGCAGGTTTGTCTGCTTCTTGCACAGGGTGTGCGATGATGTCACAACGTCGAGCCTTTATTAGGTGACTGAAAAAACAAAATCGTGGGTAGACCTCGAGGTGTCTAGCATTGGGGTCTACCCACTATCCTTTCAATCAGAGCCAATCAGAGCTCGGCATAGTTCTGACGTCACCGCAACCCCCTGTGCAAGAAGCAGACGACTTGCTCTCCGCATAGCTTCATGATTCGTTGTTTGAAGTTTTAACCGCTGATGCCTTAAGCGGAGCGGTGAATAACATGCTCAAGGCTACACACGCTTTCCTTTTTTCTTAAATTGTCAGTTACTATACAGCGACCATGTCTCGCGAAATGTGTACTTTCGCATTAGAACAACAAGCAACCAAAGGCAGCTAAAAGAACGTGCAGGGAACGCGCGATGACAAGGCAGCCGACTGCGCGCCGTCATTGCTTGATGTCGGGGTGTAAACGAAAGTGAATGGGCGCATTTGGAACAAGCTTAAACAACCGCACTATCTGAGGGACAAGCAGACGAAAGATAATTTGGGGTATGTGTAGGTGTTATACAGTCTAGGGCTTAGTCTGCCTCAACGGGCGACTTGTCGCCCAGCTGTAGATGAGAAATTTAGCCGATGCAGTGCACCCGCTGGCTTGGGGGTCTTTACCGTACATCACGCAGTGATGATACATGACCGCACGTCGGTACGATGCTCATCCAGATCGAAGCTGGCTGGGGTGGGGATTGAACCCAGGTTGCCTGGGTTCTGGGAGCAGACGAACGTGCACGCCGTATGGGGTTCTGCGTACTGGGCATCTCTTTCGCTCAATGAATGATTATAATTTTAAGAATAATTCTCAATATGTACCAGCTTGAATTGGGAGATTCCGAAAATGTTTAATTATTCGTTTATAATACGATCAATCGGCCTAATGAGAAGTGTGTTTTCGGGTTCGTGGCCGCTCCCAGTGTGAGGCTTCGAGGCGTCCCGTGCTTCTCCGTCGCTCGCCGCTCGGTTCTTCCCTTCTTGTGCGTTGGTTTGCATTCGTCGTTGTTTGGGCTCAAACTGTCGTGTCCGCGACACACAGCAGACACGCCGTAATACACTGCAGTTTCCTTCCAATGGTAAAGCTGTATTGATTGTGCGTTCTGTCCACACTGATTCGAGTTGTTTTTCGAATTGGAGAATTCTTCTAGTGGAAATCTGTGGCGATGGTGGCTTTACACAAACCTTGTGTCCAGTCATCTCGGTGTGCTCCACTTTACCTAAGGATATACCGCAACGGGTGCGATAAGCCATTGATTCGAGAGTCTCATGACGACTGTCACGTGACTTTCAAAAGGACCGCAGCGACGTTGGTCGGGAACGTAAGCTGATACATTCACTGCGCTAGGTTGGCTGTGTTGACTCGTAGCTTCTGCGACGGTCCATCGTAAGCTAAACGGGAATGCGCTTACGTTGAAACTTAAGCGAGAGTGCAAGCGAGCTGGTTCAATACCGACTTAGTAACCCCGGTGCGGGGGAAAAAACGGGACCGGATAACACATAGCTCCCAACTCTTTTTCGCTAATGGGATTGAGTGCGCGTAACAGAGGTAGTGCCCATTAACTCGTAATCAGATAACTCTAGATAAGCGATGGCAAATGTGCGGGACCCTGCACATGCCCTGAGTGTTTAGAATTTCAGTAATGTGAAGCCCGTGCTTGGTACTGAAGCATAATTGGAATCCCTGGCACGAGTGCTACATCTAATATTTTTAGTCCTGAACGGAAGGATTGAAGCAATGTAGTTCAAGTTGGGCAGCTTTGTCGTTAATTGTGGTTTCCTTGCCTCGTCAGAGTTATTACGTAGATTAAGGCTGCTTTGAAAGATAAAGTGTGTTCTATAGCCCAGAGGCTTCAATGTGTCGATTAAAGTTGTCCTAGCGAACCTATATTCCGAACATGCGCCATCATCATTGCTTACGTGCGATCCGCTAAAAAAATTGGGTGTTGAACTGCGACACGTGCGTCTTATTTTAAAAGAAAATTCGCTCAAATTAAAACATTGTTGTTATCGGTTATAACCGCGTGGTAGCCAAAACTGTTTGCGCTACTTAAGGAGGTTATATTCAGAGAGTTGCGAACATTCTCTATCAAGAAAGAAAGAAATCAAGCGCGGCTATCACCAACTGAAAACTATTTTGGGTAAGATTTTAGGAAGGCCGAGGATCCAAAGACTTTCTTCATTCTGTTCCGTAAGTCACCCACATTGAGAAGGTGTCCAATTAGTGAATGCCGATCGAGTCGCTAAACACATCGCGTTAGCAATCGTACTCCACTAACTACCTCTCTAATCTACAGTGTCAACGCGTGTCTTGCCATTTCAACAAAGCAGATCGGCTTTTATGCTTCCTAGACACCTACATCTAGTCTGCCTTCATTAAGCCGGCGGAAAACGAAGCACTGCTTCTTTTTCCAATTACCCGCTGAGCAACCCGTCTGTCTTGCTTCGAGCTTGCATACTCCGTTCCAGGTTACAATGGACCACAACGGAAGCTACGAGCCATCCCAGCCAATCCCGCACTGTAAACGTGTGACGTGACTACGCACCCTGCGCGGCCCATTAACCGGTCTTCAAGGTCACGTGACACTCAGGTGGCATTGGGTTGACTTGGACGGCCCTTAGCATCCTTAGCGGTGTGTGGTACTGTTAACCGAAACAACAGTCTGCTCGCTTTCTCCGAGCAATCAGAATGGCCTGGCGAAAAACAATTGAGCGGTAAGAACCGCGGGGGGTGCTTCTGGGAGTTGGCGTTAATTGCTTCGGCAATTATCCACTTCCGGGACGACGAAACCCCAGTCGTCTATCGAACGCGATCCAGTCGATCTACGTGACTCTTCTACCCACCCTGCCACGTCTCGTCACTTGGGAGAGGGGGAGGTCTCCTTGGAGCTTTAATGGACGCGCTCTATGTCGTTGGAGTTTCTAATTATCCAGTTACGCCAACGTTTCAGGAACTGGTAAACTTCCCCTGGAGAGAGTCGGCTTTCAGACATGTCAGTCGTTGGTTTCGAGCGAATTGTATTTGTCGACGGTCCGCTCCTATTGTGAGGGAATTATTTGATACCACACCGGGCGCGCGAGGGACATTGTGGCGAAGCCGTGCTTGTAGAGCTCCGGTGTCTTTTTTAAATTTTTTTTAGACCTATACTGCAAACTCATTTCAGTTCAGTCAGGAGCTTTCAACGTAAAACGACACCGAGAAAAAACACCAGAAAAAGAAATATATCGCAAGACGTAAAAACAACATATAATATCAAGTTCATGAGTAACGAAATATCGCAGCTGTGCAATTGCAATAAATGTTTCAACTTTTTTGCTATCGACCGTATACTTTTTTTTTGCAACTCGTTCTGTTAATTTATTGATATTTAGTATTCTTATTGGTCTATATTTTTTACCTTCGGAATCAGACATTTTTAGGGGTTGGATGTACTAAAATTAATTACAAACGGAGCGCAGCGCTCAATCCTCGAGGAAACATGTTTCTGGACTCGTGTGACTAGAAGAGCTATAGATGTTGCGCAATCGACAAATGCCCGAGTATCATGTCATGGTTTCTTTTCAAACTTTCAGCTTCGACAAGCCTCGTTTTTCGATTGAACCCAGGGCGTGTAACTTTCTGGGGCTGTTTCTTTGCTTTGAAACGTAATTATTGAGACTGCCTGCCATAGAACTAATATGCGGCAAACGGCCGGTGAGCTGTTTTCCCTGTGGGAGGTTCTCTTTGTGAGTGACAGCTCAACCACTTGTTATGGCGCCGGTCGCCGAACAAACACCACCGGAGAATTAATCATCGCTCTTGCGGAGAAGTATCACTCCACAAAGTCCAGCCTTTAACACATCACTTTCTTTTCTTCTCTCATTAAAAAAAGTAAATAAATTTTATGACACATTTAACTGCTATATTCTAAAACAAATGTATGAGCACGAAGGCATTGCGATCGACAAACCCCCTTGAAGAATAAGGCAGATTGGCAGAATCAGAGGGAACAGACGGGTTAGAACTTTCAGCTTAAAGCTGGGAGTGGTGTACCAAGCTAGCACACCTAAACGAATCAAGGCCGGTCCACTAGCATTTCGACATATTCCAAGTGAGATTTAGC